AAGCGTCATCTTTACATACAATAGACGACGGTTTTTTATAAAAAGCGTCATCTTTACGTACAATAGACGACGGTTTTTATAAAAAACGTCATCTTTACATACAATAGACGACGTTTTTTTCCACTACACTTCTTGACCCTATATGAATACAATGACTGAATTTGATCTTCAATTTAAAATATTTACACTAGTGGATACCACAAAATCTTATGTTATATTTAACGAAAGTATAAATAAACTCTTAATTGTTAGTGAATATTTTTTTTTATGGCATACGCATTTTAAGAAACTAGTTTCAACGATCCAACCGTCAAACTTGTTTGTTTATACTTCGAGATCATCTACACCAAAAATCGAAAAAAATAAACATTCAGAGATAAAGTAACGGGACAAAAAATTTCGACGGTTATAAATGAAAAATCATGATTTAACGGTTATTTTAACTCCGATTTTGATGATTTTTTACCGCTACACTCCTTGACCCAATATGAATACAATGATTGAATTTGATCTTCAATTTAAAATATTTACACTAGTGGATACCACAAAATCTTATGTCATATTTAACGAAAGTATAAATAAACTCTTAATTGTTAGTGAATATATTGTTTTGATGGCATACGCATTCTAAGAAACTAGTTTCAATGATCCAACCGTCAAACATGTTTGTTTATGCTTCGAGATCATATACGCCAAAAATCGGAAAAAATAAACATTCAGAGATCAAGTAACGAGACAAAAAATTTCAACGGTTATAAATGAAAAATCATGATTTAACGGTTATTTTAACTCCAATTTTGATGATTTTTTACCACTACAGTCCTTGACCCAATATGAATACAATGATTGAATTTGATCTTCAATTTAAAATATTTACACTAGTGGATACCACCAAATCTTATGTCATATTTAATGAAAGTATAAATAAACTCTTCATTGTTAGTGAATATATTGTTTTGATGGCATACGCATTCTAAGAAACTAGTTTCAATGATCCAACCGTCAAACATGTTTGTTTATACTTCGAGATCATATACGCCAAAAATCGGAAAAAATAAACATTCAGAGATAAAGTAACGGGACAAAAAATTTCGACGGTTATAAATGAAAAATCATGATTTAACGGTTATTTTAACTCCGATTTTGATGATTTTTTACCGCTACACTCCTTGACCCTATATGAATACAATGACTGAATTTGATCTTCAATTTAAAATATTTACACTAGTGGATACCACAAAATCTTATGTTATATTTAACGAAAGTATAAATAAACTCTTAATTGTTAGTGAATATATTGTTTTGATGGCATACGCATTCTAAGAAACTAGTTTCAACGATCCAACCGTCAAACTTGTTTGTTTATACTTCGAGATCATCTACACCAAAAATCGAAAAAAATAAACATTCAAAGATAAAGTAACGGGACAAAAAATTTCGACGGTTATAAATGAAAAATCATGATTTAACGGTTATTATAACAAACCATCATCTTTACATATAATAGACGACCATTTTTATAAAAAAGCGTCATCTTTATATATAATAGACGACCCTTTTTTTAAAAAAAAATTGTCATCTTTATATATAATAGACGACGGTTTTTATAAAAAGCGTCATCTTTACATATAATAGACGACGGTTTTTTTTATAAAAAGCGTCGTCTTTACATATAATAGACGACGGTTTTTTCGGTTTTTATAAAAAGCGTCATCTTTACATACAATAGACGACGGTTTTTTCGGTTTTTATAAAAAGCGTCATCTTTACATACAATAGACGACGGTTTTTTCGGTTTTTATAAAAAGCTTCATCTTTACATATAATAGACGACGGTTTTATAAAATCGTCATCTTTACATATAATAGACGACGGTTTTAAAAAAATCGTCATCTTTACACATAATAGACGACGGTTTTTTAAAAAATCGTCATCTTTACATATAATAGACGACGGTTTGTAATAAAAATCGTCGTCTTTACATATAATAGACGACGGTTTTATAAAATCGTCGTCTTTACATATAATAGACGACGGTTTTATAAAATCGTCATCTTTACATATAATAGACGACGGTTTTTAAAAAAAAATCGTCATCTTTACACATAATAGACGACGGTTTAAATATAAGGTATGACGTATAAAGGGAATAAATACGACGTTAAATTTTATAATACGTCGTTAAATGAAAAACAAACGTGGTGAGATTTAAAGATACCGTCGTAGAACTATACAAGAAAGACGTCGATATATTTTTATTTTCCGTCGTTGTACATTAATTTAATACGGCGATATTTTGTATTTTACCGCCGTGGATTTATTTGTAATTATATGGCGCCTTATACGAAAACTTGGTCGTGTTATTTTCTGCGTAAAAACGGCGGCTTTTTTTGAAATCGTCGTCTTTACTTTCTACGTCGGTCGATTCATAACTTCTGCCGTTCTTTATTTGCTTTGATTTTACACTGCGGAAATCCTGTTTCAAATAGACGTCGGTTTTTTAATTAGGTACGTCGTTGTTTATAAACAACCATTTGAATCTCCATTTTTTAGGTGTCTAAGGTGTTATTACACGGCGGTTTTATAGAACCGTCGTCTTTTAAAAAACAACGACGGTTTTCACTTAGACCGTCGTTTTTTTCTGGTCGTCTTTGTCACTTTTTGTAGTAGTGGCACTCTTCTAGTTTGGTCCCTATCTTTTAAAAATTAAACAAAAATACATAAAAAAAAATTTTAAAATTAGGCTCTCCATCCCCGTTATAATTAAATTCATTACTAGTTATCACCAAGTTGTTCCATATTTAAATTACACACCCACATGCATATACTTCAAGGAGTTTTAAATAACACCCACACGAACCATACCATATCGCCCAGTACTATATATGCTAGTCATTTTTTAGTGTGAGCTTAAATTAAATTATGTAGAATTAATCATATATTTTAGAGGGGTGATTTCCCCACTCCTTTTTCTCCTATTTTATCCACTTACACTCCTTTTTTATAACTAAAAAAGGAGTGTAAGTGGATAAAATGGGAGTGGGGAAATCATTGCCCATATTTTAATGCTCTCATATATAAACTAGAGTGCTACTATTTCCACCCATCTGTCATATTTCCCCACTCACTTTATCTTCAAAACTTTAAAGACAAATTTACCACTTTGTAAATTGACTTCTCTATCCCTTAGCTATTTGTTGACACCTGGACTCACTTGACTCTAAGTTAACACTGTTAAGTGAAAAAAAAAAACAAGCAAACAACCACCAGACCACCCACCCGACACCACGAACCGACCTTGCCTCCTTACCTCACCACCGGCAACATATTCAACATTCTTCAAAACTTCAAAACCACGCAATCCCGATTCCACATATTCAACATTCTTTAAAACCACACCATCCCAATTTCGTAAATTCAATATTTTAGAAAACCTCGAAAACCAAATTCCAAAAATTCCACTACTTTTTATAACCCAGCATACCTAATTCCACAAATTCAATAATTTTCAAAACCCAGCAACCCAATTTCACAATTGCAATAATTTTCAAAACTCAGCAAGAGGACCAACACGAGAAAGAACATGCACATAACATCATTGTAGCACTTGAGCATGTCAGGGTTTAGGTACATCACAGGTGGTTCTTGTTAGGTTTGGTGGAGTATGAGGTAGCTACTGAATTGAAACTTTTCATTTTCTAATTTTTTTTAAAAACAATTTTGGACTCAACAATGTTAAGCTAGGGTTAAAAGAATTTAAGTGAATGTTCATGTGTGAATAATTAAAGGGTATTTTAGGAATAATGGTGGGTGGAAAGATAATATTTTATTTTTTAAAATTTAAATGGTGGGTGGGAAAATAAGATAGGGGGATGTACATCTTGCTATCTCTGACTTTCTCTCTCATCGTGAAAGGAAAGCTCCTCTATTAATATTAGGCTTATTTGTTGAAATGCCCTTTGTGGGTTCCAAATATTCTCAGTTTGCCCTATGACGTTTTAAATGACTCAATTTCCTTTATGAACTTCTATTATGTGACCGAGATTGTGCCATTCCGTTAGTTTTCACATAAGAATGGTTAAATCGCTGATGTGGCATGGGTATGTTGGTAATTTTAACTATTAAAAATTAAATACATTAAATTAAATAAATATATATAAAAAGCTTGAAATTATTCAAAATCAAATATGTAAAATTATGAAATAACATAAAAATTATATTTTTTAAAAAACAAAAAAGAAAGTATTGAGTTGCGAGATCGAGTGGCCCCACCTCAGAATTACGATCGTTGATCTTGAGCTTCAGGTAGTGGTTGATGAGCTCTTCGTCTGTAAACTTGAACCGAAACCTTAGAGGTAATGAATCCATTGATAAAACCACCAAGTCTGATCAGTGATCTTCTTCGTCCCTCACTTTGTGTGTAATCTATTCCAACAGTGGGTGTAATATGTTCCAAAACACAAAGGGCATTTCAACAAATAAGCCTTAATATTATTCAGGAGATGATTGGGACTCTTCGTCCCATACATGATACATCCGTTGAAGTCTTAAAAGTCAGTACGGCGGTGCAGCCAAAGCAGAGGCATCATGAGCTATATTATTATGGGAAAGCCGAGGCGTAATTTGTTAATTTTGTCCTGAAATTCCGTTTCCACTAATAAGAACATGCTTCCAGGTTTTAGTAAAAAAATTATTAATTCAGTTAAGATACCTCACCAGACCATGTAACTGGTGAGGAAAGCATGTCATTCTCATCATGTCAAACGATCAGCGGCTGAGCGGTGAAGTTTTTTAAGCGTAGTTAAGCCAATGATTCTTTGTACTTAACCCTAATTTAGTTGTAATTTTCTGTATAATTAAGTATGGAACAAGTCGATAAAGAAATGTAATTCTCTTTATAATTATGGCAAATAGGTTTTTATTTTTGTAAGAAGACGTAAGATCCACCTATAAAATATGGTCTTAGTTTTTCCTTTTTTTTTCTGTATTATGGAATAGTTTCAATTTTCAACATCGTTCAGTCTTCCTACCTTTTCGTGTAGAGTGGCAAGTATAAATTGAAACAACCACGCTGTTCCTCCTAAATCGAAAACTTTGCAGCCTTGCAGAAGCCTAGAAAAGGAAAAGGATTATAACAATACAAGAAGTTATAAAGATGCATTAGTAATGCTAACTATGAGACTTCAGTGCCAGAGCAGCTGTTTACCCCTTGACAGGAGCATTCTTCAGCTAATCTGAACCATAAGCGAAAAACAAGGAATTTATTTGCAACAAGGGAGGAAAACAAGTAATAGTAGTAAAGCTGTGCGCAAATCTGGTTTAATCAGTATGTGCACCACAATCACGATAAATGCGGATAAGTTTACCATAAATGGGTGTCTTAGCACTGAAATACTCCGGACGTTGTGTCCATGATCACCAGAAAGTAGAAGCCTCACATGTGGGATGCTCTTCCAGGTCTGTCCTAGAGTGGGTTTTGGAATACCTCTTTCCCCACCCACTGTGTGATTGGTCACCTTCACATTTATTTCATTTATAGAATTATTGCAAAGGTGAAAGCATAAACTAAGGACCTATTCAATGAACCCTTTCAAACTAAATTTACTGTCGTGATAAACAAAATGATGATGGAGACGCAAATAAGCTTGAAGCAGAAATGGAAACTGATCCGAGCTTTAAAAATTTAAAAACATTATATTTTCTACACGTCAAAATGAACTTTAAAGAACCACAGCTTTTCTATGTTAATTTTAAGAGGGCAGTGGTTCACCTGTGGATTATGTTAAGCTGAGAATTGTGCACGACATGAATCCAATAGAAAAAATACCAGTACCGCAACATTATGCTCATGTGCTAATTTCTTTAACATATACCCAGCAGATATCATCAAGGCGCGTCCTGCAGTTATTCCACAAGCATGAGTCAATGAGCTCCCATCTTCACGAGTTGCATATGACATTTTTAAGTTGTATGAATGGACAAATATGAAAATTAGAAAACATTTCTACTGAAGTGAACCTTCTTTGGATGAAAAACAATTTCTTAAAAACAAAAAACAGAGAGAAATACTTGAAAAGAGAAGAGAGAAGGAAAGACATTATTGAAACAAACAAGAAACTGAAGAAAACTGTGATTTGCATACAATGATCCATACCCTGTGAACCACTGTTCCCAAGAATCAGGGTAATTAGTGAAGAGATCGAATCAACAATAAGCAACCGGACCTGCCCTCCTTTCTGCAGCTGGAACCAGATCACACGTTCAATAAAAGTAAAATTTGAAACTCTACCCAGAAATGGGAAGGAAATTCATCTTGTCAATGTGAACCTGAGATGGAAAATTGATCACTAGCCAATGTAACACATTGAACATTGTAAAGATGTCAAACACAGAATGGCATACAATGCTGTTCATTATCCTCTGAAAAATTCTTTTTCCAGCCTACAGTTAAAATCAATGTAGATAGTATCAGAGAGTGCAGTAGTTCACTTGTATAAAAGGCTAACTGAAACAAACAAAATAAAGAAAACTCTACTCTAAAACTGATGGTATGACCTCATCAAAAGCACGGCCAGCGATATGACCAACAAACTGGGCAATTCGTTGGGGGTGAGAAAGAGTTGCCTGTGTCCAGGTATACAACATTACCCATGTGCTTCGTTGCAACATTTGAGGCAGCAAGTAGGCAAACCTGAACATTACCAAGAATTTAAATATACTTTTCAACTGTTGTTACTAGTATCTGTGCAAATATCATACGATTACTCACGGTATTGTCACAAATATAAATAGTGAATTAGTGATATGCTTAAATCTTTATTTAGGTTATCACAAAGTAGGCGCAGCACAGTGTACTTAAGCAATGACATCCCAACCCAGATAAAAGATTGTGACATGTAAACTGAAAATTTGAAATCATTGCTATCATAACCTTATGTAATTGCTGAACAAAATGAATTACTGACTTGTGTTTTACCACAAGAAGATGGCCCAACAAGTTCAGTTAATTGTCCCTCACGTAATCCGCCTCCAAGTAACAAATCAATTCTGGTTCATGGCCACCCGAAAAACATTACATTTAGTATTACTAAAAGTCTAAAAGCAGTGAAAGGAATAAGTCAGTGTTTGGGCTAAGCATACCCTTCACACCCAGTTGACAGTACATGCTTGTTATGTAGAGCATCATCTAAAAGCTCCATACCATTCAACCATGGTTGATGCTGAGTATCAATAATAGAGAGGACCTGAGTAATGCCCTGCTAGCCCAAACATAACATGATATAATTGTTTAAAGTGAATGTATCTTTGTTAAAACATAACATGAATCTGTGCAAAATAAAATTCTTATGGAAAAAAAAACCTGCTTTAGTTTCTCAGATGTAGGCTGTTGTTCTGCAAATGCAGCTAATTCATAGAGGTCATGAATGAGGAAATCTTCCACAGCACCAAATAGAAAAAAAAGACACAAAATTGAACTTGTGTTATTCATATTTTCTATTGGGTATCAAAATCCAAAAGACCCTAAATAGAAATTTATGTACTTATTGGGTTTAAAGCAAATTTTACAAGTGATGGAATGGAACTCATCTGAGAAAATACCGTGAGAGGCGCAAAAGGCCTGGAAGGGTACTCTGCCTCCAAAGCTTTCAACGGTGTCAAAAAAGAAGACAAAAGAAGACAAAAGAAATAGAATCAGATCAAGAACTAATCGGTAACATAACTGTGTTGTATGAATCATTGTTTAAGATTGGACTTGTATTATTTAAAGAGTATGTCTTGGATTTAACTATGCAATTAGTTTATGTTCTTGTTAAGAGATACACTGCCCAATATTAGCACACCATGAGTTCATGGACCTCCCAAATAGCATAATTGCCGTGGGATTTGGCTGACCGGCATAGTTTTAGTGATTGAATCAAAACAACATGTATAATTGGCTCGATCCCAAATCAATTGGTCAAACAAATTGGACACTTATAGTTATTGTATCTTGAATTTCACTAAAAGACCCTCTTAATATCCACAGCTGAGACAAGCTGAACTCATTAGGTTGTTGTATCTTGGATTCCCAGACATTTATGGTTGCTTTTGCTCCATAATATTTATCTCCATTGACATAAGCCACTGCATGCTAATCACCACAAAAGAAAAAGAAAGCTCACTCCGACGATTGAGGAATGGCGGCAAATAGCTTTGGTGTAATTAGGTTGAGATTGCTGGTTCACCAAAGCTATTTGCTGCTGTAATTAGGTTTATAAGAAGAAATCAATTCTCGCATTCAAGTGGCCCTCCAATATTGTCATTTCCAACAACACCATTGCTCCTAGAACATGAGCAATTTTAGGGTTTCTAAAATTCATTTAGGATTTAATTAGATTACTAGGCTAGACCCCGTTGATTAGAATAATGATTAAATCCGTTGAGTAGAACAATGATTAAATCTCTCGTTACATGTAAGAATTCCATAACTTTATTAGTTGAAAGCTAAAAAAATTCTATTTTTTATTAGCATTCATTGGATTTTCTGAGAACATTAAGAATTTTAGAGAACCATGTTAAATACAAACTGCCCTTTATAATTTATACTTTTAATACTTTTTAATACTTTTTATTTTTTCTGTTGTGTGAAAAAGGTATATGCAAATCTTTTGGGCTTGAGGCTTGTGAACGAAGCCCATCATTTTGGGCCTTTGGAGTTAATAATACGGGTCGAAAGCCCACCAAACGGTCTCTAAAACACTTTCGCTCTCAAACCAACACGGTTGATCTAAAGCTCGCATTTCGTTTGCCACTTGGATCCTCTCTTCCACTGTTTTGTTCTCAATCTCGGCAGCTGCTACCCATTAACCGTTTCAGACACGTAAAATGTAAATTCGTACCCCTGTTTCTTGCTCTCTCTTGTTCTTTAAATGAAGGTAACATGGGGATTCAATTTTTTCACTTCTAAAGTTTTAAGTTTCTGGGATTGAGCTTGAAATTGGATGCTTTTATGGAGATGGGTCATGCTCAAATCACCATTTTTTTTTATCAGGGACCATCCAGGCAAGCTGTGTGCAGGTCAAGCTTGGACCTTTGTTACTGGTCTATTTAGGGAGGCTAGAGTATCTTTCAGGTGTTGATGCTTGCAAAGATGTAAGATTTTTCAATCCGAAAACTGATAGTATGGGACGACAAGAATCTGCTTCAAGTTGGGAGATTCAAATAGCTATGAATTCTTTTCTTTTGCTTCAGATTCGAAAAATCGGCCTAGGCGGGTCTAGGCGGCGCCTAGGCGGTTCTAGGCGCTAGGCGGGTCTGGGTGCCTAGGCGGGTCATTTTTTTTCTTTTTTCCTGACTTTAAAAACCTCACGTTGTTGCTTCCTTCTTTCTCACGAGTCGACCACCACCACACCACCAGGCCGCGACGACCCCTTGCCCACACCCGCGACCTGCGACCCTCTCTGTAATGACACTATGAACATCTACTAGTGAGATAGTGGGTTCTCTTCTGCTACATGTGATGTGACTAGGTGAGTCAAATGCCTAAGCATATAGGCTTCACCTTCCCCATCTTATAGCACAAAAATTTCCTTAAGAAGTACACATATCAGAGCAAATGACACAGTTGTCTGAGACTAGTCATAATTCTTGAAGCCAAGTCGGAGTCATACCATCCCATTATAAGAAATACTCAGCGTCAGCATGCAATTGGACCCACAATAACAGAAATACCTACCTTTACAGATGATTCTCCAGAGCAACCACATGGGCAACATGACTACTTAACATGGTTCTCGGCATTCGATATGTCGTGCTGAGGGTGAGTATAAACACACAGATATATTAACAGTATTGCATGACTGGTACCACATGACATATCTGTGCGTAATTGCAAGATTGACTTTGAAATTCTAATATTTGTACTTCCCATACAAATATTAGTGAGTATTCTATGGACATCTATTTCCATAGAGCTCACGAATGCAGATATGTTAAGAAGATGAGGTGGGTATTTCGGAAGTTGATGTCTGTTATGAGTATCTTCCCACAGTCATGATCGAGAGTTTTATATAATCCACACAGATACGATTGCCTTAAGAAGTACACATTTCTGATGTTATGAGTATATTTCCCTCACATTGGTTGTTTTGTAATTTGCAGGTTTACCATTCTCATGAACATGTTGTGTGTGATGTGTGCCACCCTGCGACAGATGAAAGTCTTCTGTTGTTGTATTTTATCATAATTACCAGAAGAAGAAATACACCCTGCTCTTGGAGTGGTGCCCAAAATACATGCTAACATATCGGAGCCAAACCGGAGATTTGGGTCACATTCTCTCATCGTACCGTATGTTGGAAGTTAGCTATGGTGTTTCCTTTAATAAGTGATTCACAATGAGGCAATTGCATTTATCGCCAGGATTTATTTTGGCTCTTATTTATCTCTGTGCTTTAGTTACACTAAAACCCAGTTATATCTCTGCTCTTCATTTCATACTGAATTTTAAAATAATAATAATATAAAGCTTAAAGATAATAAATGACATAAAATGAAAAGATTGGCAATACATTCAGGTTCCTCTTCCATTATTCTACCTAAAATAAAACATTTGATTGTTTTCTACTGTGTCTGAAAGATATTCTAAAATATGTGTTAGACACGCATTGTACAATATCCAATGCGTGTTGTGTCTATCAGATATCATAACATATTTGACATGTATTGTGTTCGAGTCAATGTCTATAGAACATACCCAAAACCAGTGATCATTAACATTAAACTCTAACCTCAAAATCTCCTCGCCACATAATATCAAAATAAGCATTACTTTGTTAGCCTTATCATTTACTATTTTTTTCCCATCAGAACTAAGAAAAACAGAAGCTATTTCTTTCTCATTAAAGCGAAGCTGTAAAATACAAAGACATATTAAAGTTATTTTCCCTTTACGGGTATTACTATAACACACACAAAATAAACTTTCAGAATATTTTTATGACCAACATATAAATAAAAAAAGTTTGCCTTATGGGTCAAGGATGTTGAGTGGGCTGAAGCGGGCAACAGGAACACACACAAGATCATGCGCCCTCGGAGCAGTCAATCCAGGGCGTTCATCCATTTCAAGAACATCATCACCATTCATCTTCTTGCAATCAGACCCATCAACCTTCCAATCAAAGCATTGAATCAAAGCCGCAAGTACCCCAGGCAACATTTTCATGGTCAAGGTCACACCAGGACACACCCTCCTCCCAGACCCAAATGGCATGAGTTGAAAATGTTGGCCCCTAACATCCACTGCACTCATCTGGCCACGATCCTCACTCAGTTGCAAGAATCTTTCAGGCCAGAAGTCCAGTGGGGTTTCCCAGTTCTCTGGGTCCCTTCCAATGGCCCAAACATTCACATATAGCATTGTGTTTGTAGGGATGTCATATCCCCCAATCTTACATTGTTGTACAGACTTTCTTGTGACCAAGGGCACCGGTGGGTGTAGTCTAAATGTTTCTTTTATGATGGCTTGGATGTATGGAAGATTTGGAACATCCGATTCTCCGGCTACTCTTCGATTTCCGACGGCTCGATCGATCTCCTCCCTTGCTTTCTTGAGCACTCTTGGATGGTTGATGAGCTCTGCCAATGCCCACTCTAGTGAAATTGCATTTGTGTCAGTTCCAGCTGTGAATAAATCCTGAAAAGAATATTTATGTTGTTTTTAGCAAATTAAAACAACATCCTAGATCCAGAATATTAGGTTCATTGATAATTTTATTAAAATCTTTCAACATTGTCAAGGCAAGTAACACATATACAGTATACCAATGCAATATAATATCTGCACTTTGCCCTCCTAAAATATTGAAAAAAAATTCATGTAATTTTTTGTAGTCACAGAATACATTTCTACATATACCAATAATATAGAGAAGCAAAGTTGTAAATCATTGTGAAGAATCAACGACTGGAAACATAGTGTTCCAAGCATGTAATTGATTTTATCTCTATAAAATTAATACAAGCGATACTTTATTTTAAACTAATCTAACCTGCCAGGAGCTGTGACATGCATTGATTGTGTTGAGCTCATGCCTAACATGCATGATGCATGTAAATTAAAATTCTTCAAATTTAATTATCAATCTTTATTTTCTTCAATATATAAAACCTCAACAGAGTTCAAGCTCATGGCGATGGGTTCTACCTAGGGGTGGGCATTCAAACCGGCAAATTGGAAATCCAAGCCGAACAGCACCGAAAAAAGGGGAAAAAACCGAGTTAACCAAAAAGTCAACAACTGGTCAAAAACCGAACGAGACCAGTTTGGACAGGTTTTTGATTCGGTTCTATGTCTTAAAAATTGGACCGGGCTGAACCGAACCGATCAAATTAAAACAAATATATAATTTCAATATTTATTTATATTCAATGCTATATTTTTAATCTCATAACTAATATTTATCCAAGTTCAATTTCAAAACATCTATATTTTCTAGCTTTAATATT